TATAGTAACTATTAAGTCTACGGTAATATATATACCCTAGTAAGCTATAGTACTTTTTCCTTTGGGAAGGTACCATCTGTGCAGTCTGCAATTTTGCTGAAGAAAGATGTTGAATCTATTTAATATTTCTTGAAAAATAATTGATTTCTGTGCATTTTTTTTCACACTGCATCAAATTAAGGTTGATTACGTCGATTAAGCATCATGAGGTGGAGCGTGAGGGGTGGTTCCCTATTTTTTATTTATTTATTTTTGTTGTTGCTGGGAGTTGGAACCCTATTAGTTAGGTTGCTTAATATTTACGCTAAGTACTCTTTAAAATACCAGAATAGGGAGGATGGTGTAGGTTTAAGTTTATTAGATTGATCAGTATTGCTGAACTATGAAAATTTTTTTTTGCATACAGGTATAACAGAATAGCTTTAGTGTAGTTGTTGTTTTAAACTTGAGTATGAACTTATACAAAATTCAGCAAGATATTTTAAAAAAAAACAGTTTTGTTGATTAAAAAACACTATATCGGATTCATATCGGTATCGGCAGATATCCAAATTTATGATATCGGTATCGGTATCGGACATAAAAAAGTGGTATCGTGCCATCTCTACAAATGACATTGCCCTCTTACAATATTTACAATAAATTAAAAGCTGCCTAAATAGGCTTTTAAGTGATTTTTAAAATTATGAATAGAAGCCAGTTCTGTAATTGCACAAGGCAACTTATTCCGCTGAAAAGATGCTCTAAATATAACAGAGTTTTTCAAAAAGTTGCTTTTAACTCGAGGAGTTACTAAATTACGGTTTGCTGAAAACAGTGTAGCATGATTATGTTTTTCATCTGGATGCTGCGACTGAGCAGAAAAAAATATGGTGTGTTTAACAGTATTGCTTTCTTTAAAAATACAAGTAAGCCATAGTATAATCCAGCTTGTACAGAAAGCCAAGAAAGTTTATTGTGCATTTTATCGATATTTGTATAATATGAACACCTTAACACTAATCTGGCCGCTTTGTTCTGGACTAACTGAAGTCTGTCCAGATCTGTCTTATTAGCTGCTGACCAAATGATTGAGCAGTACTCTAGACGAGATAATACTAGTGCATTAATGACACCTTTCATAATTGAAGAAGTAATATAATAGGAGCCTTTCCTAGCCATAGCTATGTCCTGTCCCATTTCCTTAATAACATAGTCGATATGCTGAGACCATGAAAGGTGGTGGTTTATGCTAACACCAAGTAATTTAATCTGGCAGACCTGTTCTAATCCAGCTATCAAATCAAATGCAGCACTAAAGTCCAAGAATACCACCCCGACCAAATTCCCATCATCTAGATGTTTATACCAGTTATCGGTCATATGAATGGCTCTCATTCATATGACCGATAACTGGTAGCTGGTGGAGTGACCCGGTTTGTAAGCATGTTGAAACTGAGTGAGTAGATGATTTTCTGTTAAGCAATGTTGAATTTGTTCATAGACAATCCTCTCCATAATTTTACTCAGAACAGGGAGTAGACTAATAGGTCTGCTATTGACACCATTAAAAATGTCATTCTTGTTTTTAGGAATAGGAATTATTTTCGATTCTTTCCACTGCAATGGAAATAAGCTGGATGCCAGAGATCTATTAAATATGTGACATATAGGAAGGGACACAAACTTGGCTGCAACTTTGAGCAGTTTACTGTCTATGTTATCAGAGCCGGAGCATGTATCATCAGGAAGTGATATTAATAAACGCTCCACCATCTCAACATTTACTGTCTCAAACTTAAACTGGCATTGCTTATTATTCATGATAACATCCTGTATAAGGTGGCGTGACAGGGTGGTGATAGGGTATATCCTTAGCTTAATATCCTTTCTTCTTGCATCTATTCAATTTAGTTACTTGATTTCTTAACTCACGATATGTTGCCCACTCTTGTGGACTGACAGACTTATGTGCTTTTACTTTTGCTATATCCTTTTCTGAGATTGCAGCCTTAAGTTCATTATCTAGCCAAGGTGCGTAGTTCTTTTTAACAGTACATCTTCTTTGATGATGTGACTTCTCTAACTACAAATGCCAGTTAGGCTCCACAGCACTGTGCAGTGAGTACAGGACCCACAAGCCCATGTGGGGCCCTCAGGCCACCATCATGAAATCTGTTTCTGATTGTTTGGTCAGAGACATTCACACCAGTGGCCTGCTGGAGGTCAATTTGTAACTCTGGCAGTGCTTACACTGTTCCTCCTCAGACATAGGAGTAGATACCGGTTCTGCTGATTGCTTAAGGACCTTCTGTGGTCCTCGTCAGCTCTCCTAGAGCAACTGCTGTCTCCTGGAATCTCCTCAATGCTTTTGAGACCGAGCTGAGAGACACAGCAAACCTTTTAATGTGTCGCCCTGGAGGATCTAAGCCATGGACTGGGATTTAATCATGAATCCCTTTATTTTAAGATAATTATTTTACACTATACGATCTTTACACTGTGTTAAAATATAAATGAGCCAAATTACAGTGCCATCTGTGTGGCTGTTACTCCCTTTGTGTCCTGACATTTCACAAGCCTCTAAAACGCCCCGTTGATCCCAGCAGTCTTTTGTTCTTCTGCTACACCAGAACTTAAGCACAGTATTCCTCTCTGTCATCAAGGCTGTAGTGCTGTCCCAAAAACACAGTCACAGAGTGGGCCTTGTGGACATGTTCCTCCATTATCACAAACATGCCCACAAGAGTTTATTTTCCGGCTGCCACTAGAGTACTAAATCTGTATTAGCGCACATATCTGGAAACAGCCTCTGAAAATGAGACTTCTTTCTTGTTTGTGCAAACAGCCGTTTCAGCTGATTACCTAAAACTCAAAATTCAAGAGTTGTTTACTGGACAATTTGAAATAAATAAACACAAGACAGACATCTCATTTATCTCTTTATTACAAAGAGTACAAGAATATAAGAGCCAAAATCAAATCAAATCTCTGCAACCAGGAAAAGTTGTTGGTTTACTGGTGATAGTTTTTTTTTTTCTGCTGCTGGAGACTGATTGTAAGCGTTTACAGCAACTAGCTTGCCAGCAAGAGGTTGAAGGTGTTGCACATCCATGCAAACGCCCACAGATTGGCTAAGGTTAGCAAACAATTGCCATCTAATTTATACACAGAGACAGACGCCTAACAGTCTGTGCTGATGAGTACAAATCACCTGCGGTGCGTCTCTCTGTAATAGGGGACACGACTCAACTGGTTCTATTTGTGGTTCTATTCCTATATGAAAGCAGGGTTGCTGAGCGCTTACGTCATTTTGTGAAAGAATTTCTATTTTTAAGCAACGCAGCTCTGGCTGGACTCTGAATGTAAGTATAATGGATGGGAATTTCCGTTTGTGGAGATGTCAACAGACTTGCAATTTTCTCCGATTTCTCACAGTTCAATTCAACTTAATTTAAATAGCGTCAAATTAAAACAGCTGCATCAAAGTTCTTTATATTGTAAGGTTAAGACCCGACAATAATACAGAGAAACCTGAGAAAACCCCAACAATCACACGACCCCGTTTAAACAACAGTGGAAGGAAAAACTGTGGCAGAGCCACAAAAAGAATGAATTATCTTACTTTTATTTAGTGTCACGTTCTGCTTTATGTTAAACACAAGCACGAAGAATTTTCAATTTTGTAAAATGTATAAAAATAAATGTATCACAGTGTTGTAACATTAATACTTACTGTATGGACTTTTTCAGTCTGAAAGGTAAGAAGTTAAAAAGCTGTCCTTCGTTCAGCCGTACCTCACTGTTTAGTCAAGCCAAACCATATGTGTTGGAATGTGGGTTTAAACTGCTTGAACTCAAAGCAACATGGAGTTCTCCGAAATGCTAAGAGTTGCATAAATACCCTTCATGTAAACCGTGTGAGGAATTTTCATTTCACAGAACTAAGTTGCTGCAGAGCACACATCACAAGCTTAGCACCAAATCTCTCCTCATCCATTAGCTGCGAGGTAAATGGAATATTATGATGCACCTGAATAATAATAATGATGATTGTAAGAATTCAGAGTTGCGTTAGAAATTAAACTTTACACTTTTTTCCAAATTGGAGCAAAACCTTGAGGCGCTATTAAGAAAACTGAGACTAAGCAGAAAAGTCACTTTGAAAACATAAACGTTTCTACAGCACCAAAATCAATCTTTATTCTTCATCAGGTATTAAATACTTTCCACAATACAACCAGCTCTTTTCTAAAAGGATAGTCTAAGCCCGTTATTATCAAGAAAAAAAACTTCTTGTGATCAAAGTGTTAAAAAAAAAAAGAACAGGAAATTTAAACATGAATGACATCATTTCCTGTAAAGCTCAGAGGATGTCAAACAGCAGGCCCTCCACATATCACTTTAAAATGATAAAAAACTCCCCCAAACAGGACACATCTACACACAGATATTTTGGCTCATTGATGCACATTCTGATATAATCACAGTTCTAACAGCAAGTCTGTGCTGACCGATTCAGCTGAAGGTAAAACAGTGACAGCACATTTCATTTTGTCAAAGGAGGGAACACTAACCTCATTTCACTGGATGGAACTCAAAGCACTGAGGAAAACAACAAAAGACATTAAATAGCTCAATCTGACTGCGCATGCTTTCCTCACGAGGGCATTTATTATTGATTTTAGAAGGAGCCCTACAAACACAGTAAACAGAAGCTCCTGGAGTAAGTGACACGAGATATATACCCCCCACCAGTGTGCACATCACATTATCTGAAACCTCAAAAGTTAGAAGCTGAACTCTGTGTGCTAGTGTTAAATAACATCCCCGCTTTCATTTCAAGGTTAAAGAGTTTCCATGCAGCCAACACAGTTCAAATGCAATCATGCAGAGTTCCTGATGTTTGGCCTGGATGAACGCAGAGCTACACACAGGTGAACCCCCCGATTTATGGTGATAGTGTCAGTGTTGGGCTACCACACATGCGGGGGTCCTGCTACATCATGACTGATCGAAGGTTCAGACAATCAGAAATGCTTTCAGAGTTTACTTCACTCCATTTGACCTGGACACCCACACATGTGGCAGTCCAAGATAAATCAAACTACAGACGACAACGTAAAGTGAAGCGAGCTGTGCAAACAAAGGAGTTAGTGACTGAGTAACAGAGCGATTTGACACAAAAGCACAAAAAATAGTTAATCACTTTCCTTCACGGCGCTTGTGAGAGTGAGGACTCCTCATGACTTGACTTGTGTAATTTAGGTTCACTTGTACATCATGTTTCCACTGTTGTGGGTTACAGAGGCACTGCCTTATTAGAACTGTATCACTGTTTAGTGGCCAATTTCTTTTAATGATTCCAGTTACTGCTTCAAGAAACAGTTACAAATGTTCCATCTCCAGAAACAGGAAAATTAACGTGTTTTATAGTATTTAAGTTAGAACTGTCAAAGATCGGAAGCAGTTAATGTTAGGCATATGTTGTTAAATGTGTGAGGTTAAATATGCGTTTCAGTGACACGGTGCTAACAAGTTTGGTAGAGGCACACATGCCCTGCTTCCTTTCAGGCCCACCATAAAGCTACTGGAAAACAAACAGGGCTTTTTACATTGTTAATGCTAAGCAGAAGTACTTCAGCACTGCCTCTAGTAACAGATCTACATATCTGGGAAATGGTGACGATAAGAGGCATCTCCCTGTAATATTTGTGAATTTAACTTAATGTATGATGCTACAGCTGAAGTGACTCTGACACCTTAAGCTGAGCCTTTCTGCTTCCTCTTTCAGTCTCTGTGCCAAGCTAAGCTAACTTCACATGTTCACACAATATGAAGATGACCTTGTGATGTAAATTGAATGTTAGCCAGCTGACGTGTGCTTTTAATCAAAGAAAATCTCCCCGGCATTAATGTTTGTTTGGAATTTTCCGGTTTGGACTGCTGGCGCTCACGGTCTCATATTACGCTGAAACAGGTGGAGAAAAACTTCCGGCTGAGCAAAACCCAATGTTTGTCTTTACTGCAGACTTTCTGCTGCTCCGTGTGGTGTAGAAATCCAAACAGGCACTCCCCGTATCACTCCAGCATTTGAAAAGCCATCTTCTGAGACATGGGCGAGGATGTCTGATACGACCACATCACAGGGAAGCCTTTGAGTTAAGTGCCAGCTATGATGTGATACTTCATATTTTGGGCAGTATGACAAAACTGCTGAGTAAGTCTCTCAGTATAAGGCATAATCCAGGAGCCATGCCAGATCCAAAAATAGTCTGTGGTGAGTAACAATGATTGCTCACCAGACCGCGCCGTGCTATATGTGCACTGCGACTCTTAATTTGGTCTTTTTTGGCAGGAACAGAACAAAAGAAGAGTTTCCTCAACTGAGGTTCAAAGCCTTAAAGAGGAGGTTGGAGGTCAGACCACACAGAAAACTTCATGTCCAGAAAAGACATCCACCACTTCGCCACTTGGGACAGAAAGATTCGATTGGACTCGTGTCACAGACCGGAAGCTTCTGAATGATGGTAGGGTCCGTTCACCTGTTATAGATGAGAATAAAACAAACACCTGGGTTAGCACAGATCGCTTGAGCCAAAGCTGGTAACACTAAAGTGATTATTGCCAACACAAAGAGAATTTGACTTATACTACGGTGGCCCTGAGACGTCAAATGCACTGCAACAAAGAAATAAACAAAGCCTTACAAAACACAACAGAAGTGTTTTGGGGAGACAATAATGTGATGGAGCAGCTGCAGAAAGGACATGCTAACAGGAAGTAAATTATTCATGAATCACAACCCACCCTCGCTTTCATTCAGGTCTATTGTGCTGTTTTCTTGATATAGCAAAGTGTCAGGAAGCTGTATTCCTCGTACCAGGAGGGGCAGGCTGTCCTGTTAGCTGCTGTACGTGTTTTAATAATGCAGAAAAAAATTTGTGGGCAGTAATCTGACTACACCTGTCAGAGCCTTTCACAACTTCAAAGTGTTCTACTGTCAGAAGAGACGGCAGCAGTGTTGGGTGTGGCATGACTGCTTTGTTCTGCTGGTAGAATAATTACACTGATAAGCTAAAGATTATGTCAACACGCTAACATTAAGAAAGATTCAAGTTTTAGTTAAGCAAAAGATCTTCTTACTGAATATACAAGCACAAAAACATGAGTGTGAATCAAGGTGTGAGTGTGCAGCCGAGTTAAGTAAAGGATACTGGTTTTTCAGAATGTGTCTGCTTTGAAATTTTATATTCGGGCTCCATGTATGACAGTGAAATAGCTGATTGGCTACTGTTTTTAAGTTTTCTATTTTTTTACATTTATGTGTTATTATTAAATGCTGAGCTTGTAAACTTTTCACAAAAACTTTAATTAGAAACATCACATAAAAAGGACAGCACGGTTATTGAACGTTAATGATGATTTAAAAAAATAATACATTTATTCAGAGTCTAGAATGTCAGACCAAGATGTTGTGTCTACGTGGGGTGTTGTAACAGGGAGAAACATCTGTTTCATCAATTGACCAGAATATTACGCCATGTAGACGTGTTGGTTCATCCCTCGGCTACATGTCGACAGCATATTGAGAAAGGAAATTAAAAGTGGTTTTGAGGCACATTTTGATCCACTTAAAAAAAAACAAAACAAAAACATGCAGCTTTAGATTTAGGTAGCTCAAGTCCAAGCTCAGAGTAGAGGTCAGCAGATATTCATGTGCAAAAGAAGGTTTTCACAGGACCATGTAGTTCTGTGAAAAACCTTTACTGCTTCCATATGAATTTAGAGGGTAAGCAGCAGCCAGATGGTGCTAATCAGACGCTTGTGATGAGTTGATTTGCAGTAACTGTGAGCACTTTTATAAATGAATTCTGGCAGTTTGCTGTTCCGGTGCGTTCAGTTGTGCATCTCAGGAATGAACATTGCAGCATTCGGTCTAAAGTCAAACTGTGCAATGCTCAGAGAAATAACAAAGAGAGCTGCATCTCAGACTCTATAATGTAAAAGTTGGTGATGACGGTACAGTTAGAAAAAGACTAAAAACTACTATAGCTTGTTTGGGGAGATGCTGGGCGACAGCCTCTTCTCTGTAAAAAGACCACGGCAGCACAGCTTAGATTTGCAAAGCTGCATGTAAACAGAGTAAAACACCTGTAGAACAGATGAGACTCAAGTGGAGATGTTTGGCCATAATGGACAGCGAAACATTTGACGAAAACCAAAACCTCTCATACCAACTGTCAAGGATGGTTGTAGACAGGTATCGATTTGGATGATGATTCGGCCCTCAGGACCTGAGCACCTTACAGTCACTGAGTGGATGATGGACTCCTCTGTATATAGAAATATGATAGAGGCCATCTGTCTGACAGCTACAGCGTGGCTGAAAATGGATCATACAACAGGACAATGATCCCAAGCATATAAAATGAGCACATATCCACATTTGAGCCATTTTTACCAAAGTAGCTGTCTAAGAACTAACAGCACCTCATGACAACAAGAGCCAGAAAACAAATAAAGGCATAAAAAGGCCAAAAATTAATGAAGTTAGATTATGTTTACTCAGAAGGATTTTAGCTGTAGACCAGTGGGGGAAAGACCCCCACCCCACAAATTTCCACACAGATTGTCAAAAAAAGTAATAAAAAATTTTTGAGAGAAAAAAAAAACAACTCCTTTTGGATGTGAAAATACGCCATTTAAACTTGTAATCAAACAAGTTCTGTGCAAGAAGAATATTTACATAATTACATTTACACAACAGCTCATCTATTGTAGGCAGTGTGCCTTGAAAAGGCTTATTAGAGCATTAAAAAGAAATAATAGATTCCACTTTAGTCAAACTCTGACAAGCAAAGCTAAAATAAATGTGGCCAAATGTGAGAAATGTGAAAACAGCCAACAGTACTAAAGACAAGTCGATCCGAGGCCATTTTGAGAGCCAATGGTGAAATGCCAGCAGGTGTTGTGAAATGAAATAAGTCTACCAACAAAGAATGAGGCAAGTTTCACTTTTTTGTTTTCTAATAAAGGAAAATGGACGGCTGGTGAGTGGTTACATGAGCGATACCATCTCAATTTCCCTTTTGAGAAAATCTACAATTATCTAAGCTCAGTGGTAACTGTAGCCAACTTTCTTTCACACGTCATATCATCCTTACCATTCTGGTGTAGGCTCTGGAACACGGCGCACTTTAACCCCCATTAGAAGCTTCAAACCTGCAATACGGGGTTTATTTGACTGCTACGAAAAAAAACTGTGGCATCATCTTATGAGTTTAAGGACACAACCTCTGTAGTTAGTAACAGCGCAAATAGAGTTTTAGTGAAAGCCCTGGTTCCTACTTTTAGGTATAAACGAATGCCAATTCTGTTCTGAGTCTGCTGTGAGAGTTAACGACTGATCAAACTGGCCGAGGATTCCAAAGAGATTCCGTTTAAGAATTTACCTCCTGGTTAGGTTCAATTTCAGCAAACAAACAGAGCAATTACTTCCTGGACTCCATCAGCACTGTAATTAAGCTCAGCAGGACAAGTGTTTCTGGGTAGGTGTCAATATAAACAATGTTCCCCAGGTTGTTGGCTGTGCTGAAAGTGGAAAATACATTGTTGTTCCAAAAAATTGATTCTGTGTCTTGATGCATCAGGACACTGTTGGAGTTACATTCCCTGCAAAATGCTGAATCTGAAATGATGATACTTTATTGTACAGGTAACCTCATGTACAAGTGCATTTTCTCATCTACCAGTAATTATTACAGCTCCGTGACCTCGTGTCTTTATTCATAACTACCCCGAGTAACAAAATATGAAAACAAGCTTGTTACTGCTGCAATCCAACATCAATAAGTGGATATCCACAGTGGTTTACAAACATATCAGCTATTCAAAAAAAACAAAGAAAAAGTGAATTATTCTAAAGAAACGGAGGATGCAAGAACGTTTTTTTAAGTTCGAACTGCATCAAACTAACAAACTAGACGTTGTTTTTGATTCTAACTATGCTTCCTCAGGGTTTGACATTTCCTCAGTACTCAAAATAGGGGCAACGCTGACGTTCTACTCTGACAGTCTGTTTTAGCTGATGCCACTAAAGAACATCCAAATGTTTACGTCGTTTCATGGCAACTCAGTGAATGCCAAAAGGAAACACGCTTAAACATGTGCCATCAATCTGTCATGTTTCCCCATATTTTAGCTCCGAGTATAAACAGACACCCACAGTTAATAATAAAAATATTATTAATAACACTTTTTATTTATTACAAGGTAAACAAATAAAAAAACAACTATAAAAGCTAATCAAGGTAAACATCGACAAGACCAAGTCAAAATGAAGGGTATGCAGTTCTGAATAGATGGGTTTTAAAACGCGATTTGAAAGTAGAGCGAGAGATTGTAGTCCCGAAGCAGGATCTGAAATTGACATGTAGGTGAACTGGAAGCCAGTGGAGTTAATAACAGGTGATATACGTTCATTAGATCCAATTCTGGATACAATACAAGCAGCTGGATTTTGAGCTAACTGCAGTTTATGAAGAGATTTATGAGGTAGACCACAGAGAACTGCAGTAATCTAAACGAGATGTGACAAGAGCACTGTATGGCGGTGCTGTTTGGAGTAAGTGAAGGACGAAGGCGGGTAACGTTACCAAGATGAAAACAAGAAGAGCGACTGATATTATTTACTGATATTACACTCTTAACCTGAGGGGAAGGTGTGATGGCAGAGTTATCAGTGGATAATCAAAAACTCCTCACCTGCTTTTCTTCAAACATGCCAGTAAAAAAAATACATCAGCTAACTTTTCTTAAAACAATAAAAATCTTGATTAATCAAAGTTATTGATAATTATTTTGTCCATTTAGTAATCACAAAGCATCCTGGGCATTTTAATTGAGGTTATAGTCAACGGTTTAACAGGTGAAATTAAACCTGGAGATGAAAATAAAAGACAAAGAACAACAGAAATCATTTCCACCGTCTCTGGTTTACATCAGGAAGAGGAGAATAGAAAAGGGAAAGTCTAGAGATTTGTCTCGTCTGTTGATCCCTCAAATACAACTGATGAAAAAAGAACGTGAATAGAAACACACAAAGGTTTGTGTGATTTCAGGTTTATTCGAGACATCAACAGGAACATAGCCTACCTAAATATTTCTACTAAAACACCATCAGCCAGAGAGCTGACGTGAGGCTAAACAGGGTTACGGTCCGTCCTTCGGCATCTGAAAATGCAAAACCGATGCTTACAGGGAGGTGGAGACAAACAAACTCTAATTTATCAAAGGAAGTCAGTTACTGGCTCCAAACATCAGCGCTCCAAATGTAGTGACATATTTTCCAAGTTAAGATATATTAACTGGGATAATCTGCTGCAACTTCCAGATGTTTCTGACACATCAAATTATTTTGGCAGGTCGCTTGTAACTTTAAACTACATGCTTCAGCACCTGACCTATATTTTAGTCATCTAGAGAAAGTGGGACCAACTTTCTGGTGTCTACATTAGAATTTTTAGCCACTACTTCAAATGAACCCTAACTCTTACAGAGGAAGGCGGAGGGGTTACCACAGCTGCACCCAACTGACATACTTTGCCTGTCACAGTAAAGTCAGAAAGCTAAAAAAAAAAGAAAAACTGGCCCAAATTAGATGTTTTACAAAGTACTTTAGTAATGGTCAGACTATAACCACATATGGCTAAACTATAAAATGTTAAAAAGTTTTTAAAGTGGCAAAAGCTGAACCACTTTCCAGTATTAAAACACTCTGTTCTAATATCACATTAGGTAGGCAGGTAGTAAAAATAAGAATAATTAGGGAAAATAATAACTGAATGTCACTTCTGAACCTCTGCAAATCGTTGAGCTCCCACCGCTGAGTGAATCAGCCTACAACATTATCTGATGTGCTTTCATTTCCTGTCTATTTAATGGTTGACCTTCCGTGCAGTTAGCCACAACAAGGTAGCAGGATGAAAAAACAAAAAACCTTCAGCATTACTCAGTGGCTGATTTACACCATTCATTTCTACTAGGTTAATGTAGCTCTATCCATCTGCAATAACATACTGTGTGGCAAAGGCAGAACACCTGCTGCTTTATACTTCAGATGCATTGCTGCTGGTGAAGGAGAGCTAATTAGATGAGCAATAATTGGATGGACGTCAGCTTGATTATGTTAAAATAAATAGTTCCAACCTGTGTGGGGTTTTTGGAACAAACGTTTGGGCTAGTTTTGAGAGCTTTATCAAATCCTTTATGTATTTTAGCAGTTACCTTTCCAAAATGATTCAAATCACTTTGAAAGATATCCGTGGATCATGTGCAAACAACATAGGACTGAGTTATGGATCTCTCTGTTATTGTGTTCTTACTCGTGCATCGTACTCCAAGACAAATGGAGGGATATCGAGCTGCTCAGGCTTGATGCAGGTGAAGAGCTGTTGCAGATTGTCGAGGTAGCGGACCTTTTCCTTCATGCCAGATACACTGAAAGTGGTGAAGAACCATGTTGAAACCTTGATTGAGACAAGTGAAGAAAGAGAATGGATGTGTGTAAAGAACCGTTCATCAGTTTTTAAAAACATTCAAGCTTGATTTTACATTGCCAGGACACCAGTCATGCAATAATCAAAGAATAACTGAACACAACAAAAACAGAAAACCGAGCAAGACTGAACTTTAATGAATAAAGAAAAAGCACCCACACAAACACAAGGAGAACACAGAAAGGTGCAGGCAGGGAGAACTGGCAAAAATGACATTATCTTTGAAAGCTTGAAGGGTAAAAACAAAACCTATGATTTTGTTAAACATTTTTCAAGTATTGGATCTTTGTGCAAAACCCAGTTCAAGGGTGTTCCAGTCTCCTGGAGGTGGCTCTGGCCTCCAGAGACCTGTTTGGTGGCTATGAGGAGGACATTAGATCATCAAGAAGACCTAATAAGATCACTTAACAGAGCAGTTACCTAGCACATGAAAAATACATTCAGGTCTGAAATAAACTGTTTAGAATAAAGAAGTGTTTAAAAATTCAAACCTATAAGACTGAGATGTTATTTTTTTCTATGCAAATACATATGTAACATGCATCCTGTTAATCTATCTAATAAACTGATCTGTAGGAGTCTGTAATGGAGCCACATTTTTACTATGTCAGTGACCTACATAGGTTTTACTTATCTCCGGGTCTTCAGACAGTACAAAATATGCACGTGACTCTGAGTTCAACCTCACCGTTTGCAATACACAACTGTCAGACAGACAGCACTGCTGAGCTCGGCCAGCTGTTTTAACAGCACACATTTCAACCTGGCTTACTGAAACACTTACTGAACTCAGGAATCATTATTACAAATAAGCTTTCCCTGCAATGAAAAGTCAAGATGTTTGTCATGAAGCAGGTCTACGGATTAGAGAGTAGAAAACCAGCTGTCGATTCCCATTCCTAATAACGACCTGGAGTAAAGACGGACCTTACAAACTACCTGCACGGCTGCCACCAGTCTGATTCCAGACACACATATCAGACTGTCTCTGATTTACGGCGGCAAACTCAACAAGAAACCCTCATGTAATAACATTATCACCAGATAAAAGCTGGGCGCTTCATTGAATACACGTATGACAGTAGTCCCTTTGTTCACACATGTAACACCATATAAACCCCAGCTCGAGATAAAACCATGTCATGAGCACGACAAAACTCGTAAGCCTTAAATAAGTTCGGTGTAACGCAGAAAGTTATTTTTAGTAAGCTGGTCGAGCTGTTTTTGTTTGTAATTGGCTGCTTTTCTTGCTGTTAATTTGTGGCAAATTGGATACTTTTACTTCAGTTTTTAAAAACATTCAAGCTTGATTTTACATTGCCAGGACACCAGTCATGCAATAATCAAAGAATAACTGAACACAACAAAAACAGAAAACTGAGCAAGACTGAACTTTAATGAATAAAGAAAAAGTTATCAAGAAACCAGATAAACCAGAAGTTACCTAAAGAGGAAAATATTTTCTGGATCAGTGTGGTAGGAATGTAAG